GGGGGAGAATTTTAAAATGGGGGGCCATGAGGGGAAATAAAAGGTTTAACTCTTTGCATCCACGTGTAATATGGTGAATTATTTTAAATTTATTAATGGTCGGCATGGGGGCAGCAGTATACCCTTTTGGCAGGACCGACATAATAGAATCAAAAAAAGGGTTTTTTTCGAATAAGGGGGTTCTGGGGGGGGGGGTTGGGTAGAAGTGTTGTTATGCCCCGGGTCGACAAAGGTGGTTTGGGGTTTAATAGATATAAGTTTAAGGGTTTTTAAGTGTATTATTTGAAGAGGGGGTTTCTCCCGAGGGGAAGGGTCGGGGGGGAAGGGGTGCAAGCATTTATGGGGAGGCACGGGGTGGTGGTAGGATCAGAGATGAGAAGTGTGAGGATGTGCTGCGAGCTTTATTGTATGTTAGAAATCCTCTAGATACGGGTAGGTGTTCTGGAGCGTGCTGTAGGGGTGAGGGTGATTGCAAATGTTGAGGCATATACCCAATGTATGCATGGGGAGACTTTTGGGGTAAGGTTGCGGTTGTGCGCATCAGACCAAGAGTGAGAGAGGTAATGTTTCGTTTCCTTCATGGAATTTTGGGCCTCTGGTGTGGTGCTTGGGGAGAGAGTGTTGATGGTGGAGGACGTATGTAGGGTGTGTGGGGTTAGGGAGAACAGCTTTTCATGTAGTAAATTTTTGTAAAAATTTGGAGTGTATACCGGAGTGGAGGGGTGGGATTTTGAGGAGGGTGGGTGGGGGAGGGATATGGGGGTAATAAGGGCATTGAGTTTAGATGTGGGAGGTGTGGAAGAGTCTGTGCAGCGTGCTTGGTCTACATCATAACTGATTTTTGTTTTCGTATCATGGCCATGAGGGTAAGGGGGATTGGATGGTGCAAAAAGAAGGTATTGGCTGCAACAATGTACAAAACACTTAGTCGAATAGGGGGATATATGGAATAGAGGGGAAAGGGTTTTTTCCTGAAGGATATCGAAGTATGAATGTCAGAGGTTTGTTGGCGGAGTAGGAAGAAAAAAAAAAAAAAAAAAAAAAAAAAAAAAAGGGGGGGGGGGATGTGTTTGGATTTTCGGGGGTTGCACCGGGCTCGTCTCAAAATTTGGGAATGTATGAGGAGTTCCATGATATGGTGTGAAATGGCAGCGTAGTTGTGGAGTGTGTTTTAAGTAAGTTTGTGGTGGTTTGTAAGGGAAAAGTTCTTAAGATTTTATGGACAAAGGAAATGAGCAATATTTGTGTGCATGTGAAAAGTATACGGTCATACTCAGAATGGTATACTGATGTATGTTATGGATAAGTTAAATTTGGAATATGTTTAATGTATTATCAGGATTGGTGGTTGTATTAAAGCAAAGGACATGCGGGCGTGATAAATATTCTGTTTACCAAATGTACTGCTCATAATGAGATAAAAAAATGTGTGTGATTTTATCATCAAGTGTATATAGCAGTATGAAGAGAGAATTTCATGTACCAGTATGGGTTGTATATTGGTATTCGGTGAAGTTCAATGAATATTATTGACGGTGATGGGTATATAAGGACGTGTTTGATGTACAATGTTAAGTAGGGTTAGGATGGTGAGGCAAGAAATGCTGCGGTCTGTAGAATAAGAATATAGTCTCGTTTTTAGTTAATGTTTAATAGTAATGAACTATGATAAATTTTATTTTTATGGTAGAAAGTTGTTACTCAACACTGGAAATTATATTTGAAAAATATTACTAAATATACGTGATTGTGTAAGTTTCGCTTGTGGGATGAATGTAATGTATGGACGTGAGGTGGGACGAATGTAGTGTAGGAAGTGAGGTGGGAGAATCATTTGTTTATTTACTGTGTTTTTTTTTTTCTGGGGTGGGGTTTGGGGAGTTTGTTATTTTCAAACCCTTTTGTTTCGAAATTATTGAGGTTTTACTTTTAGTATTTGATATGAAGTTTTAATATAAAACAATAAAAGTGTGTAAAAGTTTTTTTGGGAAAATTTGAGAATGCTCCGTACTACTTTTTATGTAAAATGTCAATACCTTTGACATTTCTTTGGGTTATATGCTATTCCTTTTCAAGGGGGCCCCTTTGGGCGTGGTGAAGAGGCTCTTGGTCTGAGGAATTCCCCTGTGGGTCTTCTTCCTCAGACCGAAACCAATTACCCCCCCCCATTCCCCCTCCCTACCCATCCTCCCATCCCCCCCTTTTTTCCTTCCCCTCCTCCTCCCACCCCCCCCTTTTCCCCTTCCTCTTTTAGCCTTCGTGTTTTCTCCCACGGGCGCGCTGTTCCTGGGTAGGGAAAGGACAGGGGGGCCCCATCCCATTCCTTTTAGGTTTCTTGGGGGTGGCGTTTTGCCGTGGAATCTGGATTGCCTAGGGAGTCCCGATCCCCCCGGGTACCCCGGGAGTATTTTGGGGTGTTTTTTGGGGCGACGGGTGAGCTCGGGAAACCACCTTTCGGATTGGGGGGTGGGGGCTGAAGGAGGTATGCTTTGTGGCGGATATCCGGCCGCCCTCTTTTTTTTGTCCACCGATGCTCGGCAGATGTAGTTGCTACCCCCAGATTGCTGGTTTACTGCATAAGGGTAGGGTAGGGCACGGGTTCCATGCTGCATCTGCGCTACGCGGGGTCGAGTCCTCTGGGCCGGGGGGAGATTTGGCCCTTTATTCCTCCAGAACTATCCCTCCCGGTCCCCCCTTTTTTTTTTTTTTTTTTTATTTTTATTTTCTTTTCTTTTTTTTTTTTTTTAAAAAAACAAAAAAAAAGAAGTAACCTAACCATGGCAGCCCAGTCCATGACCTAAAAAACCCCCGGGGCCCCTTCTTGATACAGCCCCCCTTTCTGACCCCCGCCTCGTCTTTGGGACCACTTTTCAACATTCCTCATGCCTCGTACCTTTTGCCATGCTGTTTCCTCACCCCTTCGGGTATGAGCCTCACGACCCTTCGATTTACAGACCTTCGCTCTCCTCTGACTATGCTTCCGCCTCTCCCTCTACGGGCGGAAATTTAAAACCGCCGACCAGTTCCACGTGGGACCAACCGGGTCCCCGCCTAAACCAACGACAATTACCGCTGTGTACTTCCCACCTTCACCTTTCTCGTTCTTCTCAGAAACACGACACGCCTTTTCACACCTTTCCCCCTCATTTCAGACTGAACAGGGGACAAAATTTTTCACTTTACGACCAACTTCCTTCGCCATTTTCTGACCATAGTTTGGGCAAGGCACCCCCTTACGCCAGTTGGTAAAGATATTTTTTTCATGCCTTAAAGGGTACCGCACATTAACCGTACAGAATGCTACCCAGGCCGTTGACCTCCGTCTTTCACATATAGATACTGTTTCCTGTAAACCCTTGAAAAACTCATTCCCTAAATCTTGTAGTGAACCGTTTTTTCCCCCCAACCATATTCAAAAAAATTTCCAAAATTGACCGACATTTCTAAAACAGCTGAACCCCAAATCCCCCAACCCTCAAGGTAGACACTTACGTTTCTCCTGCCCGTGGGGGAGACGATACCCTAAAATTGGCTCGTTTAACTTTTGACAGCCGAGAACCCCATCCCCTTTATAAGCAGACAGGGTTACAATTCAAAAGGGACCCCTACACCACAACAGTGTAGAAATTGCTGGCGTTTTTCCCATCCACAAAAATTTTTGCAGACATCCCCGAATCCCCCAGTCTTGGTGCCGATGCCCATTCCTAATACGTCTTGCAATCGATCTCCCTCTTGCCTTTAACGTCATGAGGCCACCCTTTCGTCTCTCCCGTTTCGGGTCATTTAAACAGCGGGAAACCCGTTACCTCAAAGAACAAAAGGGTCCCCCTTATCCATCATTTCTCATCTCCGCCCCCAAAGGGGAGACTCCCAGGGTTTTTCTTATTCCCGTGTTTTCAAAACGTCCCCCCACTTCGGTATCCCATTTTCTACACCCACCTCTGGGGTTTACCTCTCCCATAATCACCTGTTCAAATCCTTTTGCTGCCCGTCAGACGTCCCTACTTCAATGCCTCAGTCAAATCTCGCTTCTTCGATTTCCTCTTACAACCTCTATCGACGAGACCTCGTACAAACCCTTTTCCCCAATCGTCCCTCTTTTCACAAATCAAAAAAAGGTCCGGTAACACCCCCTACCCCCCATCTCCACCCCCATTTCCCCCCGTCCTGTCCCTATTTTCTTCCCCCTCACGGCTCAGTTACAATGCAAGGTTCACCTCCTCCTCTAATGTCCCTTTCCCTCCCCGTTTCCCCCCAATTTCTTCCTCTTCTCCACCCCCAGGTTCCTTCTCTTCGCCCCGCCACGTTTCTCCATTCCCTCCACCCTTTCGCCCCCCCCCCCCCCTCCCTTTGGTACGTTCAATACATTCCAATCTTTACTCACCCCCCCTACCTTCCCATTTTTGTCCCCATACACATCTCTGAATCCAAAACACTTAAAAGAATCTCTAAATATATTGCAAGACCAAACCTAAATTTGACACGACC